CCAAGCTAAAATTTATAATGTATATTAAAATTTTTAATAAAGAGTTCAGGGACTTGTGGGAATATATAAAAGATGAATAGGAAAAAAGAAAAAGAATCTGAAGAAAGAAAAATATCTCAACAAATAATGGTAAATAACATCCTAAACTTGGTATAAGATATATATTTGTAGATGTAAAAATCCAGTGAACTCTAAATAGGATAAATAAAAGGGAAATATACCTAGATACATCACATTCAAAGTACTAAAAATGAATATAAAATTCTTGAAGGTAGAGAAAAATGATAATATTCAGGAGATCAATAATTCAAATGAAGGGCTAGCCAAATAGCTCAGCAGATTAAAGCGCCTACTTAGGCAGGTACAATGGCAGGCCCAGGTTCAATCCCTAGTATGCTATGTCAGCTCCTCCCCCAGTGAGCGCTGAAACAGTGATTGAGACTGGGCATGGTGGCACACACCTGTAATCCCAACGCTTGTGAGACTGAACACAGGTGGGTCACTATGAGTCTGATGTATATAGTGAGGCCCTGTAGACCTTGTCCTAAAATTAAAAAAAAAATTTAAATGATTACTTTGCTCATGAAAGAGAAATAGAAAAAGCTGGGTTTGGTGGTGTACACCTATAATCGCAACACTCAGAGGCTGAGGTTGGAGGATTAGTGCAAGTTTGAGACCGGCCTCAGCTACAAAGTGAGCTTAAGGCCAACTTGAACTATACAGAGCCAGTCTCCAGCCTGTCAAAAAAAAAAAAAAAAAAGGTCAGAAGAAAATGAACAAGTCATTTAGACTAATAAAAAGAAAAAAAAAAGATTGTGAACATAAATTCTTTTTTATTAATATTTATTTATTTATTTATTTATTTGGTATTTGTTATACAGCTCGGACTCATAGTGATCCTCCTGTGCAGCCTCCCCAGTGCTGACATTATAGGTGTGCACCACCATGCCCTGGTTTCAGTGGCCAGCACAGTGCACCCAGGTTTCTAGGGCTGGCACAGCATGAGGTGCCGGGCATCAGACCTGAGTCCTTGCACTTGCTAGACAGGTGCTTAGACCCCCGAGCTATCTCTCTAGCCCTGTAAACAATTAATTCTATTTTCAGTGAAAATATCATTCAGGAATAAAGGTGAAATGAAGCCATTTTTCAGATAAATGAAAATTAAGATGATTAGGTGCTAATAGAACAGTTCTAAAACAAATACTAAGGACAATTAACAGACTAATAGAAGTGATATTAACAACTCCAAATCTCTCCAGGAATAAAAATATCAAAATAGAGAAATATTTATATGAATAAGACTATTTTCCTCTTAAGTTCTCTGGGTCAAGAATGACTATTTAAAAGCAAAACTTGCTATACTGTCTAGTGGTGCTTTCAGTGTATGAAGATGTAGTGTATTTGATA